CAATTCAAGGATGATTGCACCTATTGCGGAGCACAACGATATTGCAATGAACCACCAACATTTTGCTGTGCCAAAGGTCAAATTGTACTTGCAAATCCAAAAACACCAGTACCATTACGCAATCTATTTTGTGCATCTGATGACCTATCAAAACATTTCCAAATGTGCGTCAGAACATACAACAACACTTTTGCCTTCACTTCAATGGGAATTCATAATTATGCCACAGACTTGTGTCGCCGAAATAAGGGCATCTACACATTCTAAGTGCAAGGACAAATATACCATTTCATCAATGACATGCTTCCAGATGGTTGCCCTCCGAGGAATTTGCAATTGTACTTCTATGATACAGAAACAATCTCACAACAAACCATGGCCTATCATGGGACAAGGCTGGACAAGGAAGTAATAGATGTAATTCTCACCACTCTTTCAGAAAACCCCTATGCAAAATTCTTCCACAATTTGAGGGATATGAACACAGTAGAAGAATTCAGCGTTATGCAACCTATCTGTGCTTTAACTTCCTATGAATGATTAAAAGGTTGCTATTTCAATACATACTCAATTACTGGGAGGTTTTGTGAAGCATAAAATACTTTTCATCATTTCAGATGGGGCCAGGCCTCAGCGAAGCAACAACAAAACAATTCAGGTGGATTTCACGTTACAAATCATTGCAAATTTCATTGTGTTGTATTTTGCTTTCATCACGTGTGGATTTCTGGCTACACTCAAAAGCTTTAGCATAAGAAACCCACCATACAGCTGCTAACTACTTCACATGTCCAGATTTCTGAGTACGTTTTCCAGAATTAATTAGGTTTTTTGTCTACCGTTTAATGATGAGTGGCTTAATTATTACCACAAACTCATGTTACTGCGAATTATTTTAGGATGTATGTTATTTTTTGACCTTTCTTCAAACAAGCTCTTTTTATTCGAGGGAAAAGGAATGACGAACTAACGACTAATTTCCACCTAGGTATAATGCTATAAATTATGTTTTCTTTCAAAAGAACTTGAACTGCATTTATGTGCTAGAAAATAAAAAACACTTAAAACCAATTATTCTATATGTTTAGTTACTTGTGCAACTTTGTAATACCATAGCCATTTTTAAAAGACTAATTAATTAAACAAATGATCTCTTTTGCATCTAATTTTGATTTAATAAATCTTTCTTAATACTTATGAGATTTACAGAGAAACAACCAGAAATTTTGGAACATACTTAAAGGTTCTTAAATAAAACAATTCTCCATATTGAATGTTGATTGTTTTAAAGGTGAAGGACAAGAGGCTACGCACAACAAATGGGAATCAACCAATTTTTCCACATCACATCTCATCATTTCCACCATTCCTCTCCTATCAAAAGAATCCTTGTATGCAATTTATCTTTATTTTAATTCTGTCCAATTGGTCAACAAAAAGTTATACTCACTTTAATTTAGATATCAATATTAACTTGTTGAATAAATGCAATGTCGATGAATTATCTAGACAAAACTGATGTGCTGAGTTAAGAGAATATTTTTTGAAACGGAGCAACGCACTTTGTATGGACCAACCAAGTTAATTTTAAGAAACGGTAACTTTTTTCATGGTCGAGCTTTAATCTTACAAGATGTGTTCAGCGATCAGCGAAGGTAGTATCTATTATATAAGTTTATTGGTGTTATTGACAAGTAAAACCGTTTTCGTTCTTCAGAATAACTTGATGCTTCAAAATCATGCCAACTCAATTACAAGAGTACTTACTGAGGGGTGTCCAGAAATACTAAAACATTGTGTTCTTTTCATTCATTTCGAGAAGGTTGCCCCAACCTTGTGGCAGACCAACATCCTCACAGGTGATATGATTGTGGTGTCTATCTTTTCATTTCTTTTACGAGGTTTAATTTCGATGCTGCAAATCATTTACAATGTTTTATTGCAAGATGTTGTTCGACAAGTTTGCAATGAAGGAAATGTAACAAACAAGAATTTTAATGGCCGAACTGTTTCCCTCATGCTATAGTAGCAAGATTCCAGGTTTGGCCATATGGTTTTGTGGTTGTGTTTTAATACAACATCATTACTTATTAACACTTGGTGATTTAAGGCGTATATTTCTTGCAATGTTAAGAATATTTTTAACATCAGAAATATTACACTCCCCTATAATATTCAACACATATCCATAATCTTTTAAAAAGTTGCCTTTTCAGTATTATGAAAAAGCATTGCCCTCAATCAATGACTTCGTTTTGGTCATTTCACTTGCAGCATAGCCAGATAGTAATTCTAAGAATCATAATCTTGGAGATATAGTTGCATGTCAAAAACATGATCCTCACAGAATAAAATTTGCGGTATTGACTAAGTACTAAGAGTCGGTGGTAGGCCTTCTATTCATAGTTTCTGGTAGAATGGATTAAAAATATGTAATTCTTCTCTTCATCTCATTCTTTTCCTGATTTAATTTCAAAATAACTTCATTTTAGTGCTAAGCTCAACCAAGTAATATGTTCATTTTAATTTACACATGTATGGTCCTATAGTACTACTTGCAAAAAAACAATGTCTTTAAAACTACAATAATGGTCAGAATTTTTGTACTAAACTAGATGCACAAATTATATTATCAATAATAATCTGAAAATGTTCACTGCTTATAATACGGTTCGGGATGACCCAACAACTTATGACTATGGTTTTACATATTACAGGATACTTCGGGTTCGGGATATTTCAGGTTCGGGTCAATTCCGCCTCCAATTGAGAGCTGTATGTTCATGACCATAATCATTTAGTTTGGGTCGACTCAACAGGTTATGACTTTCCCTTTAAAAAGAATTATGTTCATATTAACATTTGCATTATAATTTAAGTAAAATTAAAAGATACAAAACACAATACCAAAAAAAATATTACATATATACTTGACTGGAGAGTCAATTTCACAAGGTTCGTGCCGAGTCATCTTAATTGCCTGTAGCTTGCCGGTAATTTCAACAAAATGGAAATCTCAACGCCTCCACCAATCATTTACACAAATACATTCAACCGAATTGTGACAAGTAAATTACACTGCTGCAATTGGTTCTTGAGTTAGGTTCTAGATAGGGATTTTGTTTCTTACTTTGCGGATTAGAGCTGATTATGGGTTCGGTTTCCGCTTACGTTCAGGGATGACTTTTAACTTTAGTGTTTGCAAATAAGGTTTACGCCGCAGGAGCTACAATCTGAAAACTCCATGGAAATTTAATGGTGACAATGATTCTTTAATATTTCTCTAATTCAATCTATGCCCCTAAATATTAATGTACATCCTCCATGTTTGTCCATACACCATTAATGAATTACAAACTACGTTCTTATTATTTCCTTCCTTATGTGTAAAATAACTTCACCTACTTTCACTACGCTTTACGAAAAAATTCGGGCCAACGCCACTAATTACCAATGTTTAAACACTTATAAGAAAATTCCATTCTCATTGATGAATCTACATTATACATAGTTTGAAAATGATTTAAAACTTCTACATCCCATCCATGATGGCCATTCAATCCACACTACTACCAAGAAAAATCCTACTACTCATTTGTTGAGCGAAAAAACATCGGGCACCATAACCCACGCATCGCGTGGAAGAATGCTAGTATGTATATATATATATATATATATATATATATATATACACATATACATATACATATACATATACATATACATATACATATATATATATATATATACATATATATACATATACATATACATATACATATATATACATATACATATATATATATATATATATATATATATATTAAAGTTGAAATATTATTAAAATAAAAAGGAAAGCAAGGAAAAGGGTGGCCCACGCCAACTGAACATCAATCCAGGTACAATCTTCACATCCACTGAACATCAATCCAGGTACAATCTTCACAGTCTTCACAATCAATCCAGGGCAAGGAGATAAAAATTAAACAAATGTTGGCAGTGCTGTCTAACATCAATCCAGGTACAATCTTCACATCAACTGAACATCCCTCTTTGTCTTCTGCGATCAGAGGCACAACCCTACCCCGAACAATCAATCATGGAGACAGATCAGAATCAATCGGGATTCTTAACCTCCACCCTACGCCGGTCATCGTGGACCTGGGAATTCAAAACCCATTTTCAGAGTTGCAAGAGAGAGACACACCCGCAGGTCCATTGAAGTTCAAAATCGAAGGTAAGATTTTCTCTTTTACTCTCTCGAGATTCAACAAGAAACTATGCATTACTGAATTTCATGGGAAGAAACGATTCAATATCTGGCTGGGCCTAGATCTCTGCTCTTGGCTACTGGAATCCCTAAGGCCCCGTTTGGTACACGGAATTCAAACTATGGAATTGGAATTGAGGACATCAATTCCAATTCTGGTGTTTGATAACACAAAAATTATGTGGATTTGGAATTGATAGTGCAAAAAATGAATTGGAATTGGCAGAATTCAATTCTATGGAATTGAATCCCATGGAATTTCAATTCTAATTCAATTCCAATTCCGTCAATTCCGTATACCAAACGGACCCTAACTGATTGTGCTACCCAAGGATCTTTAAATTCAGTGGTTAAGAGAGAACAGAGTAGATCCATTTCTTTCAGTTTCCATTCTCATAGAACCAGGAACTTCATTAAGCTATGCGAGCATCACAGAGATGGCAGGACCTGGATCTTCATCCCCGAAGGTAACCAAGCTGGCAATGGATTCACCACATTCACCCATTGCTTTAAAAAATCCTATGATATACTTAAGTCTTCCATTCCCCTGCCCCAACCTTTCACAGATATGGCCATAATCTATTGAAGATAATTGACTCCTGTTTATTTGATATTGTATCTTTGTGTGAATAATTGTATTTATTTAATTGTAGTTAATTATGGTAGTTTAGATCAACCAAATCTCTTGTACAAGCTATATATATTTGGCCTAACTCTTAATATAATTGCGAATCATTATTCCGTATATGGTATCAGAGCATTAAAGGAAATTTTTTCCTCTCCCAAAACCTAACGCCATACCCCAAGCACCGTGCATTCATCGCCGGCCACCTCCAAGCTTCTCTTCGATGATCTCAGGCTTCCTCTCGTCGCATCCCATGGCACCCACCATCACCAAGGACACCCCCGTGGTTCAACTCCACACCAAGACGCACTTCCCTATCAAATTGATCTCCACCAACTTCTCCATTTGGCAGTGCCAGGTTAGCTCCACGCTCATCGAGTTTGTTGACGGTACTTTCCATGCGCCACCGAAAGTCCTTGAAGGAGCGGCCAACCCTTGCTATTCTATATGGTTCCGTCAAGATCAATCTATCATTGGAGCCTTACTTGGCAGCTGTTCCGATCAGGTCCAGCCGCTTATCACCACCTGTGAAACCGCGTGTGAGGCCTGGACGAATCTTCATGCCGCCTTTGCCAATTCCAGCCGCAGCCACATAGTCTCCTTCAAATCACAATTAGGCAAAAACCCTAAAGGTGATCGTTCGATGTCCGATTATCTCTTTGATATGCAATCCATTGCCAATGAACTGGCGTTGGTTCAGAGTCCGGTTTCGGAGGAAGATCTTGTTGTTCATGTCCTCAACCAAGTGGGTGATGAATATGACTCAATCACCTCTGTTGCCCGTGTTCGTGCCAATCTGATGCCTCTCTCTTTGTCTATCATCAGGATGGTATTACCGCTTACTTTCTCGTCTATGTTGATGACATTATTCTTACAGGAAGTAATTCGGTGTTTCTTGACAAGTTTGTTAGTGCTTTGGCTACTGAGTTCTCTCTCAAGGATCTAGGCCCGTTAAGTCACTTTCTTGGGGTTGAGGTGAGTTCCACTAGTCGTGGCCTGGTTCTGTCCCAATCTCAATATATCATGGACATTCTTGATGATGCTTCCATGACAGGGGCAAAGGACATAGCCACTCCCATGCAGTCCGATGCTATTCATACACTTTCTATTGATGCTTTCCAGGTGGATGTCACGGCCTACCGCCGCCTTATTGGCCATTTGCAGTATCTTGCTCTGACCCGGCCAGATGTTTCCTTCACCGTGAACAAACTTGCTCAGTTCATGCATCATTCCACCGCTCGGCACTGGGCTGCTCTCAAGCGTCTTCTTTGTTATCTCAAAGGCACTATTCTTCATGGCTTACAACAACAACAACAACAACAACCCAGTTAAATCCCACAAGAGTAGGGTCTGGGGAGGGTGTGTGTACGCAGACCTTGCCCCTACTCGAAAGTAGAGAGGCTGTTTCCAAAGAGACCCCCGGCTCAACGTCGAAAGTTGCATTGCTTGACTAACTGCTACTTCATTAATTAGAGAAGCAAAGATAGTTTAGAGATCCATTTTGATTTATTCCATCACACCCCAAAGCCAAAAAATGGTGAAATTTTGGCTCCATCAGAGATAACTATTCTTCATGGCTTATTCTTATCAAAGCAGGTTCCTTCTCGGCTCACCGCCTTTTCTGATGCTGATTGGGGCGGCATCATCGATGGGGGGCTATCTACCACGGCGTATGTGCTCTATTTTGGTCCCATATTATCTCATGGAAGTCTCAACGGCAAAAAAAGTGTGTCTCGGTCTTCGACGGAGGCTGAGTATCGTGCTCTCGCAAATGCCTTGGTAGAACTGCAATGGGTTCAGAGTCTACTTCGAGAACTTCACATCCCTTTGAGTCTCCTCTTCTTTACTGTGACAATATCAGTGCTCTTCATGTTTGCAAGAATCCGGTGTTCCACTCGCGCATAAAGCATTTAGCATTGGATTACTTTTTCGTCAGAGAGTTGGTTTCGTCTGGGGCCCTTCGTGTGGCCCATGTGCGCTCTTCGGATCAGTTAGCTGACATTCTCACAAAACCGCTTCCGCGTCTTCTCTTCCACAAATTTCGGTCCAAGACTGGAGTCTCAAATGGATCCTCCATCTTGCAGGGGCGTATTGAAGATAATTGACTCCTATTTATTTGATATTGTATCTTGGTGTGTAATTGTATTTATTTAATTGTAGTTAATTATGGTAGTTTAGATCACCCAAATCTCTTGTACAAGCTATATATATTTGGCCTAACTCTTAATGATAATTGCGAATCATTATTCCGTATATAATCTGCTCTCAGAATTCAATGCCCTCAGAGCCCCAAGCTCTTTCTATTTCACAGAGCCTTCTCAGCTTGGAGATTCCATTAGATACCCTCTTCAACCCAATTGAATTCTGTAAGCCTCCTTCAACGCCTTCGAAGCTTACACCAGTGTCTTCTCCCATAGCACTTGCTGTTTCGAATCCCCCCTCTATCCACTTGACCACCCCAACCCAAACGTCTTCTCTTTCCGCTTTAGCTGCTGCTTTTGTTCCCCTAAACACACACCAAGATACCCCTACAGTGGCTCCCCACTTCCTTGGTTGTTCCAATTCGGACAATGAGCTAGAAAGCCCTCATTGGAATGTTAAATACAACTCCGATCATGAGATCCAACCTTTGAGAAATACTCTTCATAAACCATCAGATGAATCTGAGGAGGGATGGATCACGGATAAAGGTTCTGAAGAGGAGGAAAATTGGCATGTGAACATAGAAGCAATCATGAAAAAAAACCAAAGGAAATTCGACAAACTTTCCCAAAAGCTACATGAATCTTCTTGTCCTCGTAGAAGTAAAAGGCTCTTGGATCTAAGAGCAAAGCTTACTCATGAAAAAAGCATGCTTTTTTGATATGCTTAATCTGTTTGCTATTTTTACAGTTGGTTTTGAATTTTTTTTCCAACGATGCTGACAGTGAATTCAAGGTTTAGCTTTTAGCCGCACCTTCTGCCAAGAGCATCTCCTTTACATTTGTTCATTGAGTACCTTTATCTGGGCTTTCATACAAGACAGGTTAATGGTTTTACTGGCCATCTTAGGGAATTTGTTCTAGTTTGCCTTTTGTTCACCACAGGGCATTTGGTATGCGTATTAGCCTCTCGAGGCCCTGGGCAGTAGCACGATTCAATCTGCAGATCGACCTTGTGAATTCTATTTCATTCAATACTCCATGTACTGCGCACGCACATCAAGGTCCAATCATGGGAAGTATGAATGAAGCTTTCCCTTAATTGTTGCATTTGGAATATCTCGCAAAGGCTATGGACAGGAACTATGGATAAATGGCATGACTAGAGAATCCCACGTTGCCACCCCTGTCCGGTCTCCTCTGTTTTTATTGTAGTTTTATTGTTGTTTTGGCTCTCTTAGTTCCTTGGTGCAGTGAGTTTCAGGCCTTGTAGGGGTCCGGCCAACCCCCCACCTTTTGTACTTTCTTTGTTCCCTCTTTCTATTCCTTCAAAGATTTGTATCGTTATTTGGAGTATCTGATGCAAATGTGGCTCTTCATTTACTCTTTTTTGTACTAGTGTTTCTTTCTTGTTTGGGTGATGCACAACGGACGTTGTGCCAATTGTTTCATGCAACTATCGTGCTATTCCTAGAGGTGATGACAGTCACACCACACCCAAAAACTATGTTCACTCCACATACTAAATCCACTTTGTTAATTTCTAAAATATTTTTTAATCCATAATATCATGTAGAACATATTATCATTATAAATATATTTTATAAAATCATATTTTGAATCAAAATATAGTTTTATGAGTATTTTTTATTTTTCAACTAAATACTTTCATAAACAAACAGATTTGTTTTTTTAAAATAAAAGTTGTACTTTTATTAATAATACAAATTTATTAATATTTATATGAATGTTTGTTCTTGAAATGTAATCCGTAATAAAAGAGAATAATAGTCAATGGTCTTTAACTAACCTTCCTTTTAAAATAATTAAGTAACTATATCAAGAAAAAAATGCTAAAACGCAAATTGGTACAATATGTAGATCGAAAAAAATAAGGTTTTATAAAAAACCAATGGTCATTCAATGTATTAGCAATAGAAGTTATTTTAATTAATAAGAAAAAAATAAGAGATGTCAATGTTTTAGAATTACAATTAAAATTTATATTATTTTTTTTCAAAATAATAAAATGAAAGAAATGATGAACAGTTTTTAATATTTATGCATAATGATTTTTAACTTAATAACGTTTATATAAAATTTTTAAAATAATAGCACAATAGTGCATCTGCGGTGCATTTAGTTGCGGGCATTTAGTTGACGACAATATTTATTGTTTTCGGGAGTGCAGCTATTACCACCCTTCTTAAAAGTGGTTGTCAAACAAGTCATAAATTAAAGGATCAAACTTTCATTCATTGGCTATTAGTTTTTAAGTTTATAGTACAATTTCATACCACAAAGATCATAAAAACCATAAAGACCAACTCATTTATTATAAAAATAATAAATAAACTTTATATATTGAGCTTGGCAGATCCTGGTTCAATCATTGGGTTTGAACTTCTTTGCATAAATCGCACAAGGGGACCGCAGTTACAAAAGTGATTCTTGTCGCAAAAACAGTGTGTGTCGCCACAATCCGAATCTTTTAAGGCACGGAGGAGGAAGGTTTCTAGCCTTAACTTCCGGGGCCATATCTGTGAATGTCAAAAGTATTATAACTATAATCCACTCTCATATAATAGATTTTCGAATATGTATACCCATAGATGAAATCACCTAAATAAAAATGTCGCTACAATAGAAGATATTTATGTTACTTATTCATTATTAAATTTACATGTTACTTAAGAAATAATTTCGTTGATTCCATTTGTATATCCTCTACAAATCAATGTATGTAAACTGGAGATGGTTATTAATCGTAAGGATGAATTCAAGCTTCCGTCGAAAAACATGTACCTCTAGCCCCAAAAAAGATATGTCTAAAGAGTGGTAATTATAAAAGAGTATCTTTAAAAAGGTGAATATGTTGAATTATATGTTAAAAACAATGCAAAAAATGTATTTTATTTACAAAACAGTTCTTTTCACCTTGGAACCTCAGGTCATATTATGACCCGAGGCATTTACGGTACTTCATTCGTAAAATTGATGGTTCCTACCCCTAACCCCCCTAAACTCAACTCTCTACCCCCTACCTACCCATAATCGGCAAAATGGAGAGGGGGGAAGAGGGGCAGGGATGGTTCTTTGTGGGGTGGGTAGGGGGCAAAGGAGTTTGGGGAAAGAACCATCAATTTTAGAAACAGAACCATCAATTTTAGGAACATAGTACCGTATAGTAGGTGCCCCAGGTCATAATATGAACGAAAGTTCCAAGGTCAAAATATCCATGCCCTCTAATTTAATGATTTCGAATGGTTGGACACCTTATAAAAAATAATATAAGGAACAGACTAGAATCATTTTATGGGATAAACAAAGAGTTATGTCCTACAAAATGTAGTGTATCAAACGAACTAATTTAATGAAATTTTACAAGTTGTATTTCTTTAATTTATTTTATTTACTCCGTATTTTATAAGGATAATGTATTTACAAACTCCGGCCACCATAAGAATGAAGAGTACAGAAAGCACTTTGCACTCCATGCGGATTGTTTTGTTAGAAAATAGTTCTTGTTTTTTGGGACAAAAATTTTTGAAGCATATTTTTCTCTTTCAGTTCTCCCTTTTTATAACCAACCACAAAAAGAGATTGATAACGGATGCATTAAAAATCTTTCCTATGAGCGCATTAGAAAGTTGTTAGGGTATTTATTACGGCGTACAACTTTAGAAAACAATAAATTTATACTACCTGCAGGGGTATTTGTCCAATTTTTATTTTCAATCAATTATTTTCAACCTTAGACCCATAATTAAATAAAAAAATATTTAAACCGATAAGATAAAATAATATTTGGAAAATGTTTCATATAATAGATCTAATAAAACTATTTTTGTATCAATATCTAATATCATTTTATTTAATGTGAGGTCAAAGTGTACTAACTTTACTGGAAAAAAATTAAAAGTGGACAAATACTCTGAGACAGAAGGAGTATATGGTTCCATCTTTGGTATTACATTAAAACAAATCAAAGGCATTTATCACACAGTCTTTAAAATTTCTACATCGCAAGTTTAACGGCCTATTCATGTTGAAAAAAATTTAAGGTAGAACAAATCAAATATGTTTTGAAATTTTGTTCTTATTAAAATAACTTATATTAGATTTATTTCAAATTTTCCCATCTTTTCATTTTTTTGGTCATAATATTTTTGTTTCGAACCATATGTCGAATAATAAATTATTAGTGGATCGAATTTATTGCACCCACACTCGTTGTAGTTGTGTAAATGTGCACCGTTATCCCCCATAATTAAAAAAAATTACGTTGTTGCTCCTCTTGATTCTGATATTGCTACGCAAATGTTCTTTGGACAAAAATATCCTTCAGATATTGAGTGAATAACTCCGCTATCTCCTACCAGTTTGTAAATGGGCGCCAATGCTCCCTCTTCTTTTTCTTTTTCTTTTTTGTTTTTCTTTTTTCGTCAGTAAACAGGTACATACAAATCCTTTTGATCTTTCTTTAGTTTGTTATGTTTGTTTTTAAGGGAATATATTATTAAAGGAACAAGTAGGAAAACCAAAGATTACAAGGAAGAGGCATCTAAGACCAAGTATGGTACCTAGATCTTTAACAGGAGAGTAAACCCAAGCTAAAATCATTAGAAGTATAAAGAAAATTTGTGTTGATTCTGTTTGCCCAAAATATTAATGAATAATTATTCAATTAATCAAACTAGTTGTGATTAAAATAAATTATTCTTCGGCTTTGAGCCAAAATAAAATACTATGTTCTTATATCCAATATCATAATTAAGATAAGTCTCCTAGAGATAAATCCAATATGTTGACCAATTGTGTAACCTTGATTTGGAAACCTAAGTACAGACCCAAATTAAGTATGATGTGAACTTGAAATGGTTTATTGAAATTTAACTGTGAGAATAAATAATTTGCATTTAAAATGAGAAATATATGAAAAATAAATACAAAAATTACATCGTTGATTGGAATTCGACTATATCTTATCGTAATGGTGCAAACGTAATTCAATTCGAAGAAAGTTGGACCGAAAACATTACCCTGATTAGGACCAAAATTAGTCCCAATCAGGGAACAGCGGGTGAATTTCGCAGAAACTGAATTCTGTCGTTTGATGATCGGCTAGTTGATCCGTGACTCAGCATTCTACGTCTTCTTCTCCATCACCTTCCAATATAAGCAATACTCAACTCCCTCTATACTTCACAATTTCTCACAATATTTCTTTCTATTCTGTTGCTCTGAGTGAGGAGAATGCAGTGGTGCTGTCAATTTGTCGCGAGGTTGGCCGAGTTGGGAGTAATCGATCGTCCCCGAAAGTTTTACCAGAAAATTTCCAAAACCTCCGTTAAGTTTTGAGGTAAGCGTGTAGATATATCTAATGACTAAAATGTTGATGTAGGTCATTTCTATGTTCATAAATGGTCATTTATTTGAGATTTGTGTTTGACATGACTAAGAATCATAAACCTTGAATTTGATGTTAAAAGTATGAACTAAAGATACCAAAATGATCTATGAACCTCGCAAAACATTTCTATATGGTTTAATTGAAGTTTGGTGACTAAAAATGACATTTCTGAAAATTGGCTCGAGGTTGAAGACGGTACCTTGGTACCGCCGGGGTGGTAGGCCCTACCGTGGGAATGGTAGCCTAGCTACCATCTCTACCGAAGAAATCCAAACTCTCTGGCAGTACCTGGTGCCAAATGGTACTTCGTACCGTTTGGATGGTACCAAAGTACCATACCAAGGTACCAACGTACCGTTAGGGGTACCGTATGTGTAGAAAAAGTTTCAGAAACCTGATTTTTAAACTATTAAATGCTATTTTTGATACCAATCAATTATGACCAATTTTAATATGATTTCTAGAAATGAATATGATGTTTTGATAAATCCAAGAATTTTGTTTGATGCATGACAATAAGCTAGAGTGTTAACACTCAATGCTAGGTCGTTACTTATATTTATGTTAATGATGAATGATTATTATGATTGATTATGAATGATGAACCTACGGATTAAAATGATTATTGATGATTAAATCATGACTAAAAATGGATATATTTGTGATCATGAAATTGATGTAAATTGTTAAGGATATCAAAAACTATCTATTTTGTTCTACACCTGAAAATTTTTCAATATTTTCCAATTCATTCTTATTTCTTTCGATTCCTTTAAACTTTTCATTACTTTTAACTTTGTATATATTTCATCTCTAGATTCTTAGAGATTATTCCAATGAATAGGCTCTTAGCCTTTGTTTGGATAAAAAGAGAAAATGAGTGGAAAGAAAATGGATGGAAAGAAAATAGGGAGGAAAGAAAATGAAAAGAGATTAATTATTGTTTGGATGGATAGAAAGTGAAGGGAAAATGAGAAGAAGAAAGAAAATGTGATAAAACAAAAAGACACATTTAACCTTACTTGATAACACTAAAATTATAAATAAAGAGGGTAAATAAAATAGTAAGTTTACATGTTTTCCTTCCCAGCCCACGGTTTTCTCCTCCCATGTGGAGAGAAAATTTTAAGGTTAATTTTTCTCTCTTTTTTCTCTTCTCCCCATCAATTCTCCTCCAACCAAACAAGATAAAACATCTTGAAATGTGTGTTTTCTCCTCATTCATTTTCTTTCCTCCCAATTTCTTCTCAACCAAACAGCGTCTTAAACTTGCGATGTAGAAATTTAATTTTAATGACTATGTGATAAATGCCTTTGATTTGTTTTAATGTAATACCAAAGATGGAAGCATATACTCCTTTCGTCTCACAATATTTGTCCACTTTTATTTTTTTCCCAATAAAGTTGGTAAGCTTTGATCTCAAATTAAATCTTCCTCTGTCCCCCATAGATCTTCCCAATATCCCTTTTTCTTTGTCCACAATAGATCTTCTCATTTCATTTTTTAACAATTAAAATGCCTCAACTACCCCCACTTACTTTATTTATTACATCTCACCCACCTCATTTAATACACTCCACCCATTTTAATTAAGGGTATTATGGTAAACTTTCAACTTTTTTCATCTCTCCTTAAAAACCACCAAAAGTCAAAATGAGAACATCTTAGGGGGACGGAGGAATAATCATATTAGATATTGATACGAAAATAGTTTTATTAGATTTAGTATATGAAATATTTTCAAAATATTTTTTTATCTTATCAATTTAAATATATATACTTTTTATTTAATTACGGGTCAAAGGTTGAAAATAGTTGTTTGAAAAAAAGTAAAAATTGAACAAATATTCAAGATTGGAGGTAGTACCTATTTATTGTTTTCCAAAGTTGTAATAAATACCCTAACAACTTTCTAATGTGCTCATAGGAAAGATTTTTAATGCATACGTTATCAATCACTTTTTGTGGTTATAAATAGGGAAAACTAAAAGAGAAAAATACACTTCAAAAACTATAGTCCCAAAAAACAAGAACTATTTTCCAACAAAACAGTCCACATGGATTGCAAAGTGCTTTCTCTACTCTTCATTCTCATGGTGGCCGGAGTTTGTAAGTACATTATCTGTATATAAGTAATAAAATAAATTCAAGAAATACAACGCATAAATTTCAATAAATTACTTCCTTTGATACACTATATTTTGTAGAACGTAACTCTATATTTATCCCATAAAATGATTCTAGTATGTTCCTTCTATTAGTATTCATTTTTTGTAAGGTGTCCAACTATTTGAAATCATTAAATTAGAGGGCATGGATCTTTTGACCTTGGAACATATGTTCATATTATGACCTTGGGCACGTACAGTACTCTATTCTTAAAATTGATGGTTCCTACCCCCAACCCCCNCTACCCACCCCACCAAAACACGGTCCCTAGCTACCCCCTCTCCCCCCCCCCTCTCTATTTTTTCTGATTGTGGGTAGGTAGGGGCAAACGGTAGAGTTTAGGAGGGTTAGGGGTAGGAATAATCAATTTTACAAATGAATCATCGTAAATGCCCCGATCATAATATGACATGAGGTAAAGGTGGATGAAAATACATTTTGCGTATATATAGTTTTTAACATATGATTCAACATATTAACCTTTTTTAAGATACTCTATTATAATTCCCACACTTTCGACGTATCTTTTTAGGGCTAGAGGTGGCGGATGTTTTTCAACTGAAGCTTCGATTAATAACCATCTCCCGTATACATACATTGATTTATAGAGGATATACAAATGGAATCAACAAAATAATTTCTTAAGTAATATGTAAATTTAATAATGAATAAGTTACATAAATATCTTCCATTATAATGTAACGACATTTTTATTTAGGTGATTTCATATACGGGTATACATATTTAGATATCTATTACATATTTATATGAGAGTGGGTTATAGTTATAATACTTTTGACATTCACAGATATGGCCCCTGAAGTTAAGGCTAGAAACCTTCCTCCTCCGTGCCTTAAAGATTCGGAAATACGAAAATAGTTTTATTAGATTTCTAAAATCTGTGTGTGTATAAAAAAATTATTTTCAAACATCTAATCTTTCCAAACATTTTTTAACGATTAGTCAATTCATTCTACCGTCAAACTAGCTAAACTAAACAATTATTCAGAACAGGTGACATAAACCGCTTAGAACCAACGTCCACACAAGCCTTTAGGCTTTATCTTCCTGCCATATGTTGAATGTGCAAGTGCAACTAAGGGGCTGTTTGTTTCAGCCTCTTAATGGTTCAGATGTCTGAATGGTTCAGCACTTAATAGTTCAGACTGTTTGTTTCAGCCTCTTAATGGTTCAGATGTCTGAATGGTTAAGAGATTTGCCTCTGAATGGTTAAGTATTATACAAAGTCTGAATGGTTAAAACCTCTTATCTGAATTGATCAGACATTTGTCTCTGAATAGTTAAGCAATATACTAGCTCTTAATGGTTCAGACCTCTTACTGGTTCAGTACTTAATGGTTCAGACCTCTCACTGGTTTCAGCACTTACTTACCGATTCAGAAGTTGCAAAACTGGGCCGTAAGAAATGGATGGCTATAGAACTATAGAAGTCGATTTGGAATGAAGTCTCCTATATTCCAACCACTATTTGAGAGCATCTATAAATTGAAGAGATCATAAACACGTAGGGGAGGAGAGCATCCCTAGAGATGACCAATAGGGCAAGGATTGACGAGGGCCTGATGTTCGACCATCTCTTTACATTAGTGGATGGAGTCTAGAGAGAGGGCATTCCCGGTAGCTGCCCGTAGTACCAATCGGCTCTTCTCAGAGGTTTTGAAGGGAGACAATAAAGTCTATGGGCAAATCAAAATGGAGGGTTACAATGGAGCAGTTCTTACGTTCACCAACAAGGAAATCCAGGTGCTGTCGTCAAAGTACAAGTATGCTGTGGTTGGAAGAATGGCCAAATTTATTGCCAACAACAGCATTGCAGAGTCTCTCAAGAGGTCAAGGTTTGGGAGGGTTCAAAGTCAGCATCCTAACTCGCTTCCAGGTACTTATCAATTTTAAAGATGAAAGTGATTTTTACAGATTCCTGAGCAGAGTACATGGTCTGTCTGTGGATGGAAAAATTTTACTCGTATATCTTTCTAAATGGTCCCCAAAGTATTTGCTTCCGGAGGATAGCCCTTTGGTTACCCTATGGGTCACTCTCAAACATTTCCCTATTCATTATCAACACCCTAGGGCTTTACTCTCCAATGCTAACATGGTTGGAACTCCGGTCATGATGGATGAATGAACACAGAACGCAGAGTATCTCAATTCTGCAAGGGTTATGATTGAGGTGGATGATTTGTGCTTAAACCTGAACAATTTAGACTCTGAAGGGTTTCTGCAAGAATGGTTGTGTCTGAGGGAGGCCGACCTGGAAACCGTGAAAGAAGCATGCATGCACTCCGAGAATGATGGTCAAGAAGTTATGGACACATCAATCCTAGGACCTTTCGAAGTGATGACTCCCAAAGCCACTAGTTCATCCATGATTCTTTCTAGAACTGGGAAGGTTAAAACTCCCTCACTTAAGCTTTCAGTCCAGACTAGGGGAATGAAAGCTGCTCTAGATCCCCAACAAAAGGGTGGTCAATGAATCTGCTTTTCTGGAACAGTTGTGGAGTGAGCGGCGCTCTGTCCAGGCTATTCACTTTCGTTGAGTTGCATGCATAGGGTTCACTATCTTGCAGTTTTAGAGCCTTTTGTAGTTTTGTTAGGGAGAATAAAATTAACTCATATGCTTCCAAAGTTCCAAGTTAGGTTTGAATCGCTACACAGTGGCGCTGAAGAAAAAAGCTTGGATTTTTTGGGATGACTCTCATCTATCCTTTAAAGACAAGCTATTAGATGATCAAATTAGCAGCATAATTTTCCAGTCGGTCCTACTTAACAAAGAGATCCAAATATCCACTGTCTACAGCAAGCATTGTGATGGAGACAGAATGGAGCTTTGGAGAGCCATGGTGGCCCATGTGCCTAATGACAAGATATGGCGGGAGGTGGTGATTTCAATGTGATTGCATCTCAAGAGGAACATAAAGGCAAAGTAGCACCGTCTGCTAAGGTGATCGCTAATTGTTACCAGTTCATTGAGTGTTGTGGGCTTACCAACCTGGACCCCTCTGGGGGGATCTTCACTTGGACTGGATGTAGATCTCAAGGTAGAGTGTGGAGACGTCTGTAATGGTTTCTGGTCAGCAATTTGTTTCTGGGGGCTTTTGATGATGTTATTTTAACTCACCTTAGTAAAAGTGGCTCAGACCACAAATCTATACTCCTTAAGAGTACCAACTTGCAGTTTCATGGCCCCAAAAACTTCAGGTTTCAAAACTGTTTGCTAACTCATCATGGTTTTCTACTCATGGTGAAAGAACATTGGGAGAAAAGGAGAAATGTGTGTGGCGTGTTTGGTTTTGCTGAGAAACTTAAAGATCTCAAGACTGATCAAAGGCTGGAATAAAGTTGTTTTCAGTGATATTTTAAAAATGTTAAGATGGTGAAGTTGAAAGCTACTGAGGCCCAAGCTAAATTTGAGGAGAATCCTTGTGATGAGCTGATATCTTTATCAAATCTTTCAGCTGCTAAACATCTTCAAGCATGTAAGAGGGAGGTCATCTTCTGGAAGTAGAAATCAAATATAAACTTGGATGAAAGAAGGGGACTCTAACTCTAAGTTTTATCATGCTTATGTGAAAGGAAAAAGAGCCCAGCTCATAATAAGCCCTATCAAAGATGATTTGGGAAACAAACATGAGAATGAGACTGCTAATGGTGACTTGGTAGTTGAGCACTTCTCCTCTCTGAACAACAATGTCCACATTCCCACGTTAGATCCCGTCCTTCAATTTATCCCCACAACAATCACTGATGAGGATAACTAGTTTATGGCTGGTCTACCTGGCATGGAAGAGGTGAAGCTGGCAGTTTGGTCACTCAATGAGGATGCAGCAGGGAGTCCAGATGGTTTAAATGGCAAACTTTTCAGGGAGTACTGGAACATCATCAGCTCTGATTTGCATAAAGCATGTCAAAAGTTTTTTCTGGGATCAAAGTTCCTGCTTCATATGGAGGTACACTCATAACACTTATCCCTAAGGTAGATAATCCTTCAAGATGGAAGGACTTCAGACCCCTCTTCCTCTCTACCTTCATGATTAAGGTTAGTACAATAATTCTGGAAAATAGGCTCAGCATTTTGCTTCATAAAGTTGTTTCACCTGAACAAGCAGGTTTTCAGAAAGGTAAGTCAGTCGATAACCAAATTCTCTTTGCCGGGAGATGGCTCACCAGCAGGAAAGAAAGGTGGTGGGAGGCAACAACATCATCAAGCTTGATATGGCCAATGCTTTTGATAGAATAAGGTGGGACTATCAGACAATCTAAAAGCTGTCCTACAGAAAATGGGCTTCAGCAACTTGGTCACCACACTTCTGATGGGCAACCTTCAATCAACCAAAATTTCTGATTGCTGATTAATGGCAGTCCAAAAGGTTACTTCAGTATGGGCAGGGGTGTTATTCTTGGGAGTGAAGGCTTGAGCAAAGCTATCTAGCATGGGATACATTCAAGATTCATCAATTCTTTCAACAGTGGCAGGGGGGCACTTGTTAGCCACCTTGGACATTTTGATGACTTGGTGGTGTTTCTTAATGCTAATACCAGAAACATACTGAGGTTCAAGGCTATTATGGACTACTTTCTTGCCTCTGACAGGACATTAATTACCAAAAAAGCAGGTTCTATGTGGGTAGCCATACCCCACCTTAAGATTCAACAAACAGAAAATGTTCTAAACATGAAAGGAGGGAAACTGCCATTCTACCTATCTAGGGGGCTAACATAACCAAGGGGAAGCTAAAGAAGGAAAACTGTAACCCCATCTTGAATCACCTTGATAGATTGCTCTCCACTTAGTACAGCAAGAATCTTAACCCCATGGGCAGGCTGATTTTGATCAAACATTTACTTTCATCAATTCCTTTACACCATATGGCTGTTAGTGATTTGCCTAAGTCAATCATTAAGGCTCTACTTAGCAAAATGAGTAACTTCTGGGGTTAGAACAATGTAATCCTAAGCATCACTGGAAGACTTGGCTGCTGTTGTGCAGGCCCAAACATGAAGGGGGTTTGAGGATTAGAGATCTTAATGAAGTTCAAATGGCTTACTCCTTGAAATTACTGTGGAAAATCAACAATGTGGGGAATTTGTGGACTGCATACATGAAAGCCAAGTACGTAACTTATAGAGAGGGATATAAAGTTAATCTCCCTGACTCCACAAACTGATAAAGAATCATAAAAGCATATCAACATTCAACACATTGAGGATGATGCTTCAATGTTCCTAGGTAACCCTTTTAAACGAAAAAGGCTTGTTATTTTGGAGGAAAAACACTACTCTAGCCTCTGCCAAAAACATCTTTTAATATACAAAGGCAAAGGGGAAACATGAGTAGAAACTTTTCCCGCCTAGAAATTTGGTTCCAAGCATGGGCTAAATTGGCATTTAGGACCATATATGGACTAACCAAATAACCAACTTTATTGAATACCGTGTGGGAGAACCTGTATTGGGCTAACCGATTAACCCTCTTTATGGACTGCCGTGTGGGACAGCCTGTATTAGGCTAATTTAATAGACCACTTAATGGGATATCGTGCGGGACAACCTCGATTGACATGACTGTCTATTGGGCATTAATGATGTAGATTCACACAATATTTTGAGACCCACGCAAAAAGAAAAAGTATTACACATGATCATCAAACTTGAGGCCCGTGCTTTTCAAAATATTTTTACACTTACTATTACAGTAGAAATGCTCATCTATAAACTAATGAATCCTCAAATATCTGGTTTCCCTGTTAGTGGTCGGTAATGACCTTTTTTTCTTGCCTCGTTCATGCCTTCTCGGGATTTTCCTTTGGTCAGCTTCGTATATTAAAAGACAATCCATTTATTGTTATGGTAGATTCAAATTTTTTGGGGTTAAATATACCAAAACTTCATTTGTCTACATTAATCACCACATACCAACAAGATGAATATGGCATCTACCCAAGGTATGAGGAGCATGCTTGGAGAACTTAACAAGAAGAAATTCAGATCCAAAATGTTAAACATTTTAACAAAGGTAGTCTAGAATTTGAAGTAGTAATAGTTCAAGTAAAAAGTATATAAAGGTACACTATATATGAGACAATACATCTACGAAAGCCTTGAGAATGCATATATGTTATATCTTGTTGAAAACTTTTTTTCACAGATACTCAGCATAAGGCATCGAATACATTTTGGCTACTTATTACACTTTTAATTAGTTAATGAATATATTTTTAGGTAATGAATACATAACGAGAACCTTATTGAATGCATTTGCAGAGAGCAAAAATTCAGGCACAATTGAGGCCACCGTTTGCAATGTTCTGAAACATAACCAAGGAGGAGAGGGCTTATTGACTAACACTAAGCCAAATTGTTGCATGTTATCTTTACAAAATTACATTTTTAACATTAATCTTTAATTCTTTATTGAAAGTAGGTTTTCAAAATTACCTCTAAATAATCTTGAATGTATTAATGCACTAAAAAGTTTTGAAAACTAACTTCAGTAGAATATCTCAAAGATGCATTGGGGAGTTCGTGTATAAAATTTCTATAATGTACGATAATACACAAACATTAAGTTTTAATATTGTCTCAGAAACACAATTTCCTTTTAGATTTTTTGTGATCTTTTTGAAATCCTTAAACAAAAAAAAATATGCTTTGAAAGTTTAATAAATCTTCTTTCGTGAAACAACACATTTTGTAAACTCTTCTTTAAACATGTATTACTTCAGAAATTTAGGCTCAAATTTAGCAAAAAGAATTTATAATCCATACATAAATTAGTGTATGACATGTTTTGATCAAATTAGAACAATACAAAAGAATTTAATTCTAAATTTGCCAAAATATTTTATATTGGATCCAGTTGTAAACTTGTAATAATTGAACTTATAACAATAATAGTAAAAAAGATTGTAAAAATACACAGTACTATACCAGAAAAATATAAAGAAACCAATTAATATGTATGCATGTTAGCTATAAATGAGGCAAAAACATTGCTCTAAGAAATTAATGTAAGTTGAGGTAAAAATACCGGATGAAGATGAAGAAATCAAACTCACCTCTCCAAAAATAAAAATCCTCGATGGCCGTGTTAGTTACGAAGGAAATTGAAGAGGAGGGAGCACGCCGGAGATAATAGCCTCTCTCGAGGAAACTGTTATATACTTTAGTGTAATTGGAAAAACTATTTGACTAATGGTATCATAATAATCATCAAAGAAGTTTGGTGGTGCAGAGTGCAAGTTTCATTGAGTTTGTTATGATAGAAGTCCCGTTTTAATGGGGATTTGAAGGGGGTAGTGCCCCCGAGCAGCGTTCAAGGGGTAGAGCCCCTGCGGGGTCAAAGGGACCAAGTGTTATGTAAAAAATTCATTTGTATTTTTAATTTTCAAATTTCCCTTAAAGAAAAATTTTCGGAAAAAGATAATGCTCGTTTCTTGAAATTCGTGCAAGGGGATGCGCGTTTTAGATGGGAGACACGATTACAACTTTTCTTTCCTTCCGGGGTTCTATAAATCCCGCGTATCCTTGGTCGCAAAAGCACAGTTCGAGTCTCATAAAAATGCATATCTGTTCTTTTCAAATTTGAGTTTTATCCGGTATAATTAATCTAAAAGTGATATACGACTCACTAATTGATCCACGTTATCTTCGTTTTCCCCAACAGAAACATTAGGGCGGCTCATCGGGAGAAAAAAAGAAGATAAAGCAGAGGGTAGAGTGGCGCAGACTGAGTATGGCATAATTGTTGTACGGGTAGGCGGGTTAGCATTTGGGGAGAAAATGGTGGGCAGGTGCACTTCACACCCTCACACTACATTTTTATTTTTACTTTAATTTTGAGCATAATTCTCTTTTTAAATTTTTAAAATCCAAGACATGCATTTTAAAATATTTTAGGCTATATGTTTGTTTAGGTTGTATTAACAGAGTTGGGTGTCGGAAAAAACCAGAAGAAGTTGGAAGAAACAGCTAGGAGGTAAAAGGAAGATCGAAAAAACTGGAAGGAGTTGGGAAAAAATGTTTAAAAAACACTCAATTAAATAATCACAAAAATAAATATATATGGAAAACTAATTTTAGATAAAAAAGAATTCATCTTTGTAGACTTTTTTTGTGTTTGAGGTAGCATGTTATAAATTTTGATATATGATATTAGTGTATATTTTTAGCAACTACTTTTTTCTAAACGACATTTCTATCCTAACTTTTACCCATTAATTATTACCTTTCCTATTCACTTTATTTAACTTTTTCAATTATTCAAGGGCATATGTAGAAAGTCAAAACATTTTTTTAGTTTTCTTTAATTTGCATGTAAAGTCAAACCGGGAAGAAAATTTTGGGACGCAGGGAGTGTATATATATATATATATATATATGTATGTATATATACATACATACATACATACATATATATATTTATATATATATATACATATATGTATATATGTATGTATATTTATATATATAGATGAATTTTTGCTCTCTATGGCGAAACAAACTGCACATTACAAATCTTATATTTGCATATGATATTATTGTTGTTCCAGTGTGTCATGGAGGCTCTGCAGCACTTTAAGGATGTCTTTAGTCTGGTTTAGGAGTAGGATAATAATCTTGCCAAGTATGGCCCTAAAAACCATCCAAGCCGTATTCAGGATTTTTGTGTGGAGTGGGGCTACCAAGTGCCAACAGTTGTAAAAGACCTGTTATCAACTGGGAGAAGTTTGTATGCATAAGAACAATGGGGGTTAGGGGTCAGGAATATACTGTACTGGAGTAAAGCTACTGTGCTAAGGTTGATATGGGACATTTCTAATATGAAAGACTTCTTATGTGTTAAATGGGTCCTTAAGCGAAATAACATTTGGAACTACATTCTTAAACCAGATTGCTGCTGGTATTGGAAAAAACCTATTCAGACCCGGAACGGGTATGGCTAATATGTGATGGCTACAATTGGTTGATTGGTCAAAGACCTTAGGTTTGCTGGGCTAAAACTCATTGGAGTACTCTCATTATCCGTAAACATCAATTCTTCTTTTGGATGCTTACGAGGGAAAGGGTTCAATCTAAGGACAATCTTAGCAAATTCATTGAGATTTCTCTCGAGTGCCATATTTGATATTTGTGACTCTACAATCATTTTTTTCTGGGAATGTAAATATATGCATCACTTTAATTCTAAGATCTTTTTGTGGCTAAAGCAGGTGCAAGGAAGAAGCTATAGAGGAGTCTACTCTGCTGCATGGGCCTACTACTCAGTACTCACTTTATTTGTAAGTCCAGAAATCATTGCTTATTTTGAAGGAGAGGTATCGATGTTGAAGAAGCTTTTGCTCATGTTAAATTCAAACTTTGTTCCTATATTAATAATAGTAGATCCAATACTTTAAAGGGAGACAATATACCTCATCAAAGAAAAAATGAGGAATCTGAACAAACTAACTCCAAAAACATTTTGGGAACAGAAAACTAGAACCTCCTGGTGTGCTTTTCCACAGGAGTGTTTAATAAAGTGCATTTTGGTTAAAAATAAAGTTTATGAACATTCAGATTTCATTTTTATGAACAATACAAAACCTCAAACATTTGCTAATCAATGATGTTAATGCAACACTTTAAGATTGTATGTTAGATTAATTTTGTAAGTTTGCACACATTGTTGTGACTTGTGAGTCAGTGGGTGAAATGCCACCAGCTGTCAATGGATGATTAGCCTTCAACATTCCGCTTTTGCTGGCCTCACTGTGATAGCTGAGAAAGAAGCCACCTATTGGCAGAGGTAATTATCAAGTATGTTTTTGGTACTTTATAGAATTGGTAAATTTGGCTGAGGAAATATATTGGATTTATAATAAGTTTCAGTATCACCCGCAGAATACACACACACAGATATTCAATATTTGTACATTATAACTATTTTAAGAAAATGACATTTTGATGTACACAGTATAACTCTAGACATATTCCTCTCATATAAACACATCCTATCATAATGGTAGAATATATAAAATTTCAATATACAACGCTTATTTGTTGAGCTAATACGTGGATTTCTTTGTACTTGTTGAAACACTGCCAAAACTATGATAACCGTTTAATGCTCTGTTTAATTTCATGGTTGGCATAATATTGTCTTTCTTATAATTATATACACATCAAAGAGGAGTCAAGAAGTATTTTCTACAATGTCCAAAATCATTCTATGCATGTTAATTTTCCTATAACTGCTTGTGAAGATTTGAACCAGCTGTTGGGATACTTTGTTGATCATCCATGTGTTTAAGAAGGCGATTAAGACTTTTGGAAGTGGAAAATTAAAGTAGTTTGGTTAAAATAGAAATTTTACTCTCAACCAAGAGCGAACAATACATGTATAATGTAGGGACTCATGGTAATCTAATTGTGTTGTACATAACCAAAGTAGCTCACCGGGTTTCAACGAGTGAAATACAATGATATTAGTAACGTCACAAATAAAGTTAACATAAAAACTATATATAATATTTTGAGTGATCTTGAGCTTATCTTCAAGATGTACTGATGGGAGTCGGTGCTGATGGGGTTCGAGGTAAAATTTACTGGTGTGGAACCTGTAATGGTGATGGTTAGGTAGTAGTTTTTAAGATTGTTTCTAAATTTCTCTTATTTTCATGGAATACTATAAAACCTTACAATCAAATTCAGTCCATCCAACTCTTTGGTTTTCCAAGTCATATGTAATGACCCTGTCCCTCATGACAAGTTCTGCGAAGAAAAAAAAATCAAACATGATCAAAGAAATGATGCCTTTTGATACTATATACTAGATGTAGACAAAAATGGTAGTTTTGTGACTAATCACTTTGAGAAATATTTTACCTCCTAAAATTTGCAGTCCTGGGTATTGAGATGGGAGGAATCCCGAACACCAATCAGTGCTTCCACTCTACATTAGGTGCATGAAAACTATGATTACATCTTTAGACTCATGATTATAATATATTTAAGAAATTATGTTTTGTGTGACTCACAGTAGTATCACGAGTGAGGCAGTCCCTGGGCCTCAAAACCGACTGCTGATGCACCTCCTTTTAAATTCAATGTAATAGGTGGAAATACATCACATGGGCTTGATGCAAAAATAGAAACAATGTCAAATTTAAAAGACTTCAAAATAAAAGGTAATAGAATCTAGTAAGCCCAGGCCAGGAGACATAAAATGATCTTGAACATTGATTGTACATCATAACATAGTTTATGTGATCTAAGATTTGGGATCGCATGTGGTGAAGCACTTTGGTAGATCTGTGTAAACAAAAAGAGCACGATTTAGTGTTTGGTCATCATAATCTAAACTAGATTTGCTTATCAATTTCCATGTCACGTCTAATTAATGGTTATGATTGTTTAAGTGTCATGCTATAGATTGAAACTCGAGCTATGGTTTAAATATATTATGAAGCTGTATAAATTTAGATATATACCAAAATATTACTCCCTCCGTCCATAAAAGAACTTCCCGGTTTGACCGGGCACGCAAATTTATGTGTAATGAAAATTGTATTGACTTTCCCATTATACCCCTCAACATATTTGTCCTCTCCACCCGCCATAAGCCATCTACAGCTGTTGCTAATGCCGGCGGAGGTTCACCGCCGACCACTCTTCGACACCACTGTCCCCTACCCGCTGCCGTCACAGACCTGCAATCCCCTCCATCCCAACCCCCTTCGGTCTTCACCGACTCCTCCCTACACACTACCCAATAACTACAACCTCCCTCCTTCCTGTACGGGTTGAACGCCCGCCGACGAACCTCCATCTAGATCTTCCCCTTCATCTGGCATATTAAAAGAATAGATCTGAAAATTGTAAATACAAATTAGAAATAATGGAGAAGCTGCCGACGGAGATCTATTCCGATCTAAGGAATTTACCATTTGGATCGGATATGATGAAATTAACCAAAAAAAATTAGAGAGAAAGGGAGAAGATCGAGACAAAGGAGAGAAATAGAGAAGAATTTGAAGATTGAGAGGCTAATGAGAGAAGATGTTGAATAAATTACTCCGTAAGAAAGAGTGGTGGGGAGGATGAGAGAGAAACTTGCACCAGAAATGTGGATAGACTGGGTTAATAGTTTAGGGTGATAAGGGTAGTAGTGTCTTTTTAAGATAAAAATTTTGCCATTAAAGGAAATGGGAAGTTTTTTTGTGGACAACCAAATATAGAAAGTGGGAAGTTCTTTTATGGACGGAGGGAGTATATATAAAATAAAAATTTAAATATATACAATTTTTATATAAAGTAAGATGACGATGCAACATCATTAAAACTGGTTAGAAAAAATAAGTTTATTCAATGTAATAGAGTAAAAAAAAGTGATAAAATGGTTTATATGGCTTTATACTTCATATTAAAGTATGCTATTTTGAAAAGAAGATCTAATCTCAGCGAGTGTTAGTAAGGGCAATTTAATGTTTGGTTGGGTCCGACATATTTTAGCAAGTCATTTCCGGTTCAGTCATTTGCAAGATCTAGCTCTGTTAAAACATACCACATGAACTAATGGAGAAAAAACCTCTTTTGCTAGGTATACAAAATAAGTACTGTGCACAGGTTGGCAAACATGTCTGGGTCAATTTGCAGAAGTTGCCTATTGATATTGATGCCTTCCAGATGAACATGATAGTTCTGCCTGAAAAGTAGATATGCCAAAAGGTATTTGTCACACCCGCCAAATACAAGGCACACTTTTGATAACCTAACTATGCTCACTAGTGAAAGCAACTAGAAAACTCTGTTGAATGACATAAAGTGTGAGTCTAAAAAAACAATATTAAATCTACTAAATTGAAGACATACTTTGGCAGGAGTGGTGTATAAGTTAGAGGCAACTCCACAACTTCACCAAGCACAAAAAACCCCAAAATCCCAAAACCTCCTCTTAGGCAGTGAGAGAAAGTTTTTGGCACAGCATGTTGGGGAGGAGAGTTGTAAGATGATTGACATGGTTTTTTGGTTAAATCCCAAAATCCCATCCAGCACCTGGTCGTTTTGAGCTATGTACCCTTGCTGATAAGTAGTACACCTGTCATGTCAGCAAATAATCAATAAATATAAGTGTAGAAAACTATGAATTGGAAAGTACTCCGGTAACATTAAGATACATAGATTTATTATATTTTTTAAAGAAGACTCACCCAAAAACGACTGAAGCCGTGCTAGAAGTGGCAGAATTTTCACTAATAACATCCAAATGGATAATATCAGCTACATAATAGCCAGATATTCCACTACGGTCTGACAAGTCAAAAAATTGCCCAATAAGCGCGCCACATGTCACAATTCTAGAAGCTTTACTCTCAAAGTTTATGTATAAAGATTTCTTGAGTAAATTGGTTATTCCATTATTTCAACAATAATAATAATACAAACAACAAATAACAACAAAGCCTTATCCCATTAGGTGGGATTGACTAACAATAATAATACACATAAAATAATAGTCATAGTAAAAATAATACTAATAATAAAAAAACAATCAATAATATTAATAACAATAATAATATGGAATATTTATTATTGCGGTTATATAATAAACACATGTATACTTTTAAAAAGAAAAGAAGAGAACTATAAGGTTATTTAATCAAATGAATATATTTTATTATTGATCATCATAAATTAATAATGATTTTCAATAGCTGTATTTATATAACACAAAATATGTTGCATATATTATTTGTTTCTTTGATAGAGTATTCCTCTTAATTTCTATATCAAACATCTTATATATTTGGACATTAATTTATTTTAAAAATATTTTTTAATGGTTTAAAACTGATTATCAATGCGGGTTGGGACGGTCTGAAGCCTTCGGGTACCCGTGCAGGCCGGGCTCGGGTTTCATATGTGATGTTCGCTATGCAAGCCGGGTCAGGCTCGAACCTAAAAAGTGTTTGTAATGTAAAGTCCCGATGTGGTTTAATATTGGAAAAAACCTATTCAAAACAGAATTGGTATGGCTAATAATCCTAGGATAAAGATATTTGTACCCCATATTTTGTACCCCACTTTGTACCCCGTAGCTTTGCACCAATACTTTATGTTGGTGTAAAACTAATTTTTGTTAATGCACCAACACTTTGTGTCCGTGTAAATTTTTGTTAACGCACCAACACTTGTGTCGGTGTAAAGCATCAAAATGTTTGGGTATAACTGTGGTGTACAAATGGTGTACAATTTGTGGTGTAAGTGTAGCATAACCCATAATCCTAATATGCGATGGCTACAATTGGTCGATTGGTTAAGGACCTTAGGTTTGGGGGGCTAAAATTGTTTGGAATAATCTCATTATCCCTAAACACAAATTCTTCTCCAGGGAAGGGGTTCAAACTAGACCT